AATTCCGTAAGTGTCGATTCTCTACATGCTCTGTACGGCGCCAATTTGTGAGTAAACTGTGACATATAGTTGCTCTATAGAAAGCAAATTTTGTCCTCATTCTAAAAAATCACCAAAAATTCTGGGAAAAGGCTGCAATTTTGTGAACGATGAAACCAATAGAACAATCCCTGGTCTATTTAATTTCATCAATACAAACTTTCTATCTAATATGAAATTTCAGTGACCAATTTTTTGGTGAACTGTTGCAAAATATTTTTATCAGCTTTTTCCGATCGAGCTGAGCGAAAAAATCATTCAAACGGAATCTTTCCCAATTTCCAATGAATTTCAAATGGATTCATGAGAGCAGAAGCTGAATTTCATTCAACATGTTCAATTTAAACGGGAAGATCGATCATTTACACGCAAAAAGCGTCCTTAAATAATTCATGACGATTTTGCATAACCGGCGTTGACCATTTCCATTTGACCCAAAAAACGTGAAATTTTGGAGGATTTTCGGGAAAAAAATGTATTTCCTTTAAATAGATTCGAGAGTATAATTCTGTTTGCACAATTGATCGGCTGGCCAAATATCGGGCGCTTTTTAACTAATTTAATGTGTTTGCTTTGGACCTGCGGATATCCTCGTCTGCGTCTTCTGCTGCACGATGACCCACTTTTTCCGTCAAGAATTAACTCGACGATGAATCCAAAACATCCAATATTTCATAACGTTGAGTAATGCAATTCTTGTCAAAAAAATCGCTTTTTATTACAAAAAAAACAAGGTTCTACACAATTAATTGCGCGTGTTCTTCATATAAACTTTTGTTTAAAAAGCGTGTTTTCCAACAGTGTTTTGGGGTGTTATTTTCAGGCTAAACGCACCTGGTGAGGGCTGATTCTGGGGTGCCTGAAATTAGCACATCTCAAAAAATACAGGGTGTTCAACAGTAGCGTGTGCATATTCAGAAGGTTGCGAGCAAAAGAGACAAGAGAAAAGAGAAAAGAGTGGCGAGAAATTCCCGTTCAACTGGTTAGTGACTACTTTAATTATATTTAGTATTTTTCGGAACACTGTATAGACTGGATAGAAAGTGTAGCAACATCATGTAGCAGACACGATGTGTGTGATAAAATGTACGAAGACGGATCTTGTTTTTTGAACCGAACAGACAATTAGGCTTTTAATGAGATGCTGAATTCAAGGCCCGACCTGTAAGATAAGTTGAATGATTTAGAGCAATTAATTATTAGATTTTTCGCCAACTGGAATAATTGCCTCATCTTTCGGGTTAAGAAAAACGCCTCGTCATGAGGTCGCCAGCAGAGATTCGCGTGGGGTCTTTCGGCTTATCACAGAGCAACATTCGACTTTGTTGTGTTGACGAAGAGCTCATTGGATTTGCACAGACTCTTGCTGGATGCGATTAAAGAAAAAACGTTCGCAAAACGAATTTCACCGACATTCTACGCCGATTAATCACGCAGGTTTGTTAACTGTTTCAAAGGTCAACTTTTCCTTATCGGCGATGACAAATTTTTTCTCGAAAACCACTCAAATTGCCATTCAATTGGCGCGACCATCGAATGTTTGCTAGAATTTGCGGTCATAAGGGCGTTATGGCTTTGCGTTGGCCAAATTCCATCTTATCTTCATGCAAATACAGGCACCCAAATGTTTATCAATCGGCGGAAAAAACCGAAAAAGTTTGTTGCACTCGCTATGGGCAGAAAAACGGCGATGGATGTTTGCGTTTTCATCCAACTCTCAGACTGTCAGTACACAATTATTATGTACGCCCAAACTGAGGAGAAAAACCAAATTAAATCGTCCAACTCCACTCAGATCGGTTGTTCTTTCGCAGAAACAGTGATTTCTGTGAAATTGCCACTTCAATTACCAATTTCACGCCATAATCGTTACCTAATGAACTTTTTGACTTCCGATCGGATTCGATTTGTGCAATTTTACTGGACCTTAGCGGAATTTTAATCAGTCCCATTAAATTGCCCAAGTAATTCGCATTTTGATCGCACTAAGCCGTATGAGAATCGCACTTTTTCTCAGTTTCGGAGATGGAAAAATCTAGCCGCTATTCGCTTGGAGAGAATGCCCCAGAACTCACACCAATTAAATTTTTTCAGGAAATTAATCAACCGCACAAAATTTTACAATTAATTCGAGGCGCCTTCGCCGAAGTCAAGATAGTTATGCAAGTTTTGATCATTAGTTAAATTTTGCCAAGTCTGCAAGTGGAGAATGAGTCAGTTTTTCAAAGCTCGATTTTCTTGATAGTCCGGTGACCATTACGGTAGCATTTGCACATGGAAAGTGCATTTAGCAGACTTTCCATTGCCTTTTATTAAATTTTATTAGGCCCTCGCTAAGTCGCTCTTGTTTCGAGCTGCGACGCCTTCACCAACATTCCTTAACAATTTGAGCAAAAAATAGTCCTAAATAATTCAATCAGCGCAAAATTTGAGTGAAAAAAATGTGAAAAACACGTTATCTAGATATATTGGCGAATGTCCGTTTCAATTCAGATAAATCATCGAGAACTCCATTTATCGTTGGATGTTTTGGCGAATGATTTATTTCCCTGCAAGGTGAGTTTTCTTTTTTTTTTCCTGCACTGCTGTTTGAAACATTGGTGCAAAATCAAGACAATTAAATAATCGAAGCGAAGGTTCTTTGCAGTTCAGCGTTAATCATTGTATTTATCTTTGGATGTTTTGGCGAATGCAGTATTTGCATTAAAAGTGAGTTTTCTCTTCTCTAAGGGACCTTTGCCCCAATTTTTGAACAATTTCCCATATTTTCTGTTTTTTTTATATTTTATTCAAAACCGGCTGCTTTTTCAATGGATTTTCATTCATGTTGAGTGAATCCAGAGCGTTTTTACTGTTCTTATCGAAGACGTCAAGTTTGTAAATGAATAGACTAAAATTGTGAAAAAAGCACGTTCTATTAAGGGCGAATTCGCCCAAGTCAAAATCCCTGAATCATCTTTACTTACTAAATTTTCAACTTTACTGAAATGTGCACATAAAAGCAAACATTTTTCATTATGGTATCTTGGCGAATGTGTTTTGCGGTTCAGCAAAATCATCAAGAATTGTACTTTTCTTTGGATGTTTTGGCGAATGTGCCATTTGCATTCAAGGTAAGTAGTTATTTTTTGTTCCCCCTCTGCTGTTTGAAACATTAGTGCAGAATCAAGACAATTAAATAATCTTTAGAAGCTTTGGCGAAGGTTCTTTGCAGTTCAGCTTCAATCATTGTATTTATCTTTGGATGTTTTGGCGAATGCAGTATTTGTATGGAAAGTAAATTTTCTTTTTCTCTAAGGAACCTTTGCCCCAATTTTTGAACAAGTTCCCAAATTTTCTGTTTTTTTTATATTTTATTCAAAACCGGCTGCTTTTTCAATGGATTTTCATTCATGTTGAGTGAATCCAAAGCGTTTTTACTGTTTTTATCGAAGACGTCAAGATTGTAAATGAATAGACTAAAATTTTGAAAACAGCACGTTCTATTAAGGGCGCATTCGCTCAAGTCAAGATCCTTGAATCATCTTTACTTACTAAATTTTCAACTTTACTGAAATGTGCACATAAAGGCAAACATTTTTCATCATGGTATCTTGGCGAATGTGCTTTGCGGTTCAGCGAAATCATCAAGAATTGTACTTATCTTTGGATGTTTTGGCGAATGCGCTCTTTGCATTCAAGGTAAGTTTTGTTATTTTTTGTTCCCACTCTGCTCTTTGAAACATTAGTGCGAAATCAAGACAACCAGGTAATCTTTAGAAGCAAAACTTTCAAGTTTACTGAAATGTGCAAATAAAAGGAAAAATATTTTATCTTGATATTTTGGCGGAGGTTCTTTAATGTTCATCTTCAATCATTGTATTTATCTTTGGATGTTCTGGCGAATGAGACATTTTGTTTTCAAGCTGAGTTTTCTAATTTTTTTCGCCACTCTGCTGTTGGATTCATTCTCTGAATGATTTTCGTACCAATTTTTGAACAATTTTCCAAATATTCTGTTTTTTTTTTTGGGATTTCATTCAAAACCGGCTGCTTTTGCAGTGAATTTTCATTCATTTTAGGCACTTTCCGCAAACACTTCAACCGTGTACAGCAGGGAGAACGTGAACATTTGTTGCGACAGAAACCCTCTAATTTTGGACTAATTTTGGTAGTTTGAAATCGCGTGATCTGAAGGAGCAATCGGCGGACTCTCAATCGACTATCAACAGACCTGGCGAAATCGCCCTTGTTTCGAACTGGAAGGCATTCATCAAGACACTTGAACACTGGCCAATTTTCGACTGTAACTCCAGCAAAAAAAAAGACTAAATCAATTAGCCAGTACACGATTCGAGTGTTTATTCTCGAATTAAGAGGCTTTTGGTGTTGTTTTGTGTGTATACCAAACGCGACGACTTTATAAATAAAGTGGCTAAAAGAGACGAAAATGCACCAGCCGTGTTTAGGTTGTTTTATATCAGTTATCCGCTGAGGTCGGGTGTTTATTTTCGTGTTGAAAATTCACCGTTGGGCGTCAGACGAGATGCATGTTATATGCTTCTTTTGGAATGCTTTTACTGGGCGAAGACAATTTGCCAAGTGCTATGAAACGGAGTTGCGAAACTTCCGCAAGCTCCGTTTTGATGGCTAAAATAATCTGCAAAACAGTGCTTCCTTCGAACGTTTGTTGTTTAATTTGTTAAGTTGCAGTATTTTTTGCCACTTGCAGTTTTTCCTTACCTGCGATAGCTTTTGAATGAAAAATCACAGTACTGCCGTCAAAGGCGTCCGATTTTTTTACTGCACCTCTCACAAAATCTGTCCTCTTCTGATACAGACTGAGCCCATATCAGAAGAACCAGCAGAATTTATGCAGGTTTTTTACCACAAGATTGGGTAGATTTACAGTGAATGGAGCTAACATTGGCAACATGTTGGGAAGCCCTGAGGACGGCGAAGAATCGGCCGCAGGTTCCGACGCTGGCGACACTTCTCCTGCCTTTTCCCCTTTTCTGCCATCACCAGTTCGCTTCCAACCATCGAGCTTAATAGAAGTAGCATTTCCGATTTTGCAAAAAAATCCCATAAGCATGAGGGAAATTGTTCATTTACAAGCCGGCCAATGTGGAAACCAAGTTGGAGCCAAAGTGAGTTTTGCCAATTTTTTTGCTTTTTTTTGTCAAGGGTTGAGGCTTTTTTAATGTCTTCACATCCTACTAATGTCGATACTCTTAGAGATTAATGTGCTGTATTTTTCTTCCTATAAGTTATTTGATGAAATTATTTCCAATTTTCATTAGAACATTTTTTGCCACTTTTCAGTAATTAATTTAATTTAAATTCCTCAATTTTATGATACAAACATTCTAGTTACTAACAGTTAGTCATAAATAGAGATAAGGAAAACCGCTATAAATACCGATAAGCTGCATAATGAGTGCAAAAAGTGTGACTCTAATGAGTCAAATGGGTTTAAAATTGATTTTTATTTATTCGTTATGCGTGTACCGTTGTTTAGCGATTATTCGTGTCATTGTTTCAAGCCGTTGATACCGGGGAAGATTTTTTTCGTCAACCACTTAAGCCAAATTATGCCGCTCCTAATTGGCAAATAATCCAACTTTATTGATCGATTAATTATTTGCACATTTACCTACCTTTTGCTGGGTTGGTTATCAAAATTTTCGCGTTAAAATGCTCTCAAAAGGCTTGAAAACATTCAGCCTGATCCGGCTCGAAGGACCAGAAAACTCTTCAGAACGCTACGCTCAGAAAGCTACATTTTTGGCAATTTCTGCGTTAAAGGCTTGAAGGCTTTAAAAATTCAACTCTGCCTGATCTGACCCGAAGGATTAGAAAAGCCTTAATATCCACCCGAAAGGATTGGCCATAAATAATCCAGCCAACATTATTTCCTCATTATTAAACAAAACTGAGCCACATTTAGGAACCGACGTATATACCAACTAGACGTTTCACCCATATCGGCGCAAAACATCTTCAAGTTTGATTCAACAACTGGTGTATACGATGCAAGACTAGTCTATTCTATTCTATATAAGTGCTTGAAGATGTGTCGCGCGACTGTAAGCGAAACGTCGGCTCGAAGTGCAACTGGCCAAAGTGAAACATTTTAATGAAATTGAATAAAGCAACGGTTTATGATTCATATAATGACGATATCGGCTGGAGTGAGTGCATTGCTGGGACACTGAACATGCAATCCACTTTGCTTGGTTGGTTTTTTGCGTCTTTTTTTGGATAAATTGACTTCCTAAGGTCAATATACTCTATGTTGCGCTCTAATGGGCGATTTTGTCACAGAAGCAGTGAAAAAGTCGAAAAATTGATCTGTTTGAAACGCAAAATAGACAAAACTTGACCTCAGCATGGAAGATTTCGCACAATGCGCTCGCTTCTCTAAAAAGCTGTTACTCCCTAACTACCCGCGGTAGAGACTTGAAATTATCAGCGTTCGTAGCAGACATGTGAGCCTCATTATGCAGAAAATTTGGTCAAAATCCCTAGACTTTTTGATTTTTGACAGCGTAGTAAAAACTAATCAAGAAATGGAAGCTTTGACCCGAATGCGCTCGCTTCTGTAAAAAATCGCAACAGCCAAACTATCAGACTCAGCAGCTTTAAGTTTTCCTGGTTCATAGAAGAGACTTGGTGCTTCTCATGCGGAGGGTTTTATTAAAATCCCCCTGATACTGTGATTTTGGTTAGCGTACTAAAAATTATTTCGAAATAAAGGCTTCCACCCAAATGTGCTCACTTTTGAAAAAATTGTTACTTTCAAACTACTTCAAGCACCATCTGCAAAATTTTCCAATCTTGATAAGAAAACTTCACTCTACTTATGCAGAAAGTTTTTTTAAATCCCCGAACTTTTTAAATTTTTGCCAGCGTAGTAAAAAGTGATCTTAAAATAGAAGCTTTCATCACCGAAATGCTCGCTTCTGTAAAAAATCGCAACTGCCAAAATATTTCACCCAACAGTTTAACATGTTCCTAGTTCGTAGAAGACACTTGACTCTATTTCTGTGGAGAGTTTGACTAAAATCCCCTCAAAATTTTGTTTTTCCAGCAAAGTAAAATTTGCACTCAAAATGGAAGTTTTCGCATAAATGCGCTGACTTCTTTAAAAAATCGTAATCTCGATACAGCTTCAAGTAGCAACTTGAAATTTTTGCTATGCTTAGAAGACACTTGCCTCTCCTTATGCGGAGAGCTGCATCAAAATCCCCCAACGTTTTAATTTTTGCCGGCGAAGTAAAAATTGACCTAAAAATGGAAGCTTTAACTCAAATGCGCTCGCTTCTGTAAAAAATCGCAACTGCCAAAATATTTCACCCACTATTTCTACATTTTCCTAGTTTTTATAAGACACGTTACTCTACGTTTGTGGACAGTTTTATTAAAATCATCTCAAAATTTTCCTTTTTTCAGCATAGTAAAATTTGAACTTAAAACAGTAGCTTCAACGCAAATGCGCTGGCTTCTTTAAAAAATCGTAATCTCGACACTACTCGAAACAGCATCTTGAAATTTTTGCAGCACTTAGAAGACAATTGACTCTACTTAAGCGGAAAGTTTCATCAAAATCCCTCCACTTTTTAATTTTTGTCAGCGTAGTAAAAAGTGAACTAAAAATGGAAGCTTCAACCCAAATGCGCTCGCTTCTGTAAAAAATTGCAACTGCCAAAATATTTCACCCACGAGTTTTCCATTTTCCTAGTTTGTAGAAGACACTCGACTCTACTTTTATGGAGAGTTTTATGAAAATCCCCTCAAAATTTTGATTTTGCCGGCATAGTAAAATTTTAACTCAAAATGGATGTTTCCACACAAATGCGCTCTCTTCTTAAAAAAATCGTAACCTCGCAACTACTCCAAGCAGCAACTTGATATTTTCGCAAGCCTTCGAGGACACTTGGTTCTACTGATGGGGAAATTTTCATCAAAATCCCCCAACGTTTTTATTTTTGCCAGCTGCGTAGCATAAAGTGATCTAAATATGGAAGATTTCACCCTAATGCGGTCGCTTCTTAAAAAAATTCGTCACTTTCAAACCACCCCAAGCACCCAGTTGAAATTTGCTCAATCCTTAGAAGACACTTGACTCTACCTATGTGGAAAATTTCTTCAAAATCCTCCAGAACATTAATTTTTACCAGCGTTTTAAAATTGCTGAATTTATAACGAATATATATTGTTGACAATTTTTGCCTCAAGTTTAAATCGCTGTAACTTCTAAACAAAATTTGCGATTTTGGTCAGTTTCATCTTATTTAAAAGATAAATTAAAGTGCTTTTGTTCGTTAGTGTAATAAAGTAGCTAGAAGGCGCAAATTCCAAAAATTCCATCCGATCTCTCGCTAGTGGAATTAAGACAAATGGATCCACTGAAGGCAATAAGACAGCAATAATGAGCCATCACTAACATCTTAAGCACCCATAAATAAGTCAGGGGTTTTTTATTTTTATTCCGGCCGGTAGCCGACGAAGACGGGCTATTTTGGAAAGGTTCTGGATGGCGACAAGCTAAAATTAGCCGCCGTTATCCAGACACAAATACGGTGTTTCTATTGGATTTCAAACAAGAACCTCCCCGCTTGTTCAGTCATTTCCACTTAGGTTTTGTGTATTTTCCACATTGATTTCCTGCGGTTTATCGAGCCGTCATCAATCATCCGGCCGAATTCTATTGCAGCTACAAAGGCTTTAAGGGAAAAGTGCATTTTTGCCGAAACTGTTAATTAGCAGCTAGTAAAAGCCCAATTGTTAGGCAAATGCGGTTTTTTCCAGGAAAAAAATGGGATTCTCTTGACCTTTGCTTTGTATCCACAGCCCAATTAATCATTTGTCTACCTAGTTCAATGACTGTGCGATTCGGGTTAGACGAAAGGAAGTAAATTCGTCATAAAATCGATTGTAGTCTTTGGTTAATTAATGAAAGGAACTGGAACTGGCTGGATGTTTCGCTCGAACAGCCTCCGATTGCTGAAAGACTTCACTAGAAAATCCCCATTAAAACCACTCGAAATTAATTAGCTAAATCTACACTTGTTTGGTGAAAACTGCCACAGTTGAGCATGATTTTACTGTTAGAATAACCGGGCACTTAAGGCCCAATTAACTGAAATCCGTCCATAATTGGCCAAGAATTTCCGCTCTAGTAATCAACGATTGCTTGCAGTTTTGGGAGGTGATTTCTGAGGAACATGGAATCGATCCCAGTGGCGTCTATGTGGGGGACAGCGATTTGCAATTGGAAAGAATCAGCGTTTACTATAACGAAGCCACTGGTAAGTCCATTCTAATCTATCTTGACTGGCTGGGACTTGAAAGTTGGAGTCGCACTGCATCTAACCAGTCTATAAATGATTCAACTGAAACGGGCAAAAATAGATTCGGACGGAAACCGACAGAGCATTGTACATTTAATGGGAAATGACACTAAATTACTCTTGCATTCGACTATGGTTCAAGAAACTCGGGCTTTTTCAATAAGCTGCCCATACACGACAACAGAAATATTATGGTGCGTGTATGGGCTGCATTAGATTGAGGAGGAACTGTTCGAAACATGTACTGCAAAACTGCATACAAACATGAGTTTTGCTCAGAACTGGATGAACAGCATTTATTCTCCAGCGTTCTGTCCAGTCATCCAAGTCCAAAAGACGCAGTGAATAAATTGTAGTGTAAAAACAGCCCGGATTGTCGTAAGAATTTGAGACTTCGCAAAATATAGTCGATAGCTTAATCCGAAAACTGAGAAATTTTCATTAAACTCGCACTGAATCCGAATTTTCTTCAGCGGTTTAACCGCGAATCGAAAAATTATTGTTTCCAGTCAACAATCAATTCGTTACTACTAATCTCGGGCAAGTATCGACTTGAAAGCTTCCCATGATATATAGCAGACAATTGCATCTCCACATTGAGAAATTTGCATTGAAATCGCAATAGATTTTGATTTTTTTTAAATATTTAAACATGCGCCTAAAAAATGTTGTTTAAGAGCACAAACGCGCCCTCTTTAAAAAATTCGTAACTACTAATCTGGAGCAAGTTCCGACTTGAAAGCTTCCCATGATCTAGCAGATAATTGCCTCTCCA